TTTATCCAAAACGAAGACAACATCCCAATAATCTATAACATATTTAAAAGAGCTAACAACAAAGTAGTCACTTCGAAAATACGCACTGCTGAAAACAAATTCGACACATACATCTCGTTTAGAGACAAAACTGAATCCACTTTGATGAAACAGAACTGCTGGTGGCTATTAAATGATAATGAAAACTAATTCACTCCATGACACATCTGGTCTGATTTCTTGTTCTTCTTTTAACCATTTTATATTATAAAATCATCTATGCATCGTTTTTTTTAATTTTTTGTTTGCAAATAAATACAAGTATATATATATCTACTAAGTTAAGATATAAATTATATCATTTGTTAATCAAATGTTACTAATTATTGTTAGCGTAGTACTCGAGAGCTCGTCTAGAGACACTGTACGTATATATTATCGTTGTACTATTGTTTATTATAGTAATTAAGTTTTAATTTTAATCAAATAAACAAAAAAACGAAATTAATTTTTTAGGGATAGATCCCTCTTGCCTTATATATATACACTTGTGGAAAAGATTTCATTATCAGGCAAAAATCTAAATGCTAAATTAAAGCGGTGGCCTGTATTTGTAGAAGAATTATTTCCCTCATTTCATTACAAACATGGAAAGGAAAACTGGTAGCAGATACTTTATCTAGACAATAGATAAACGCACTCGATGATAACAACGAATCGGAAAGTGTTGTGGCAAAAAGTGAGGAATCCCTTACACAAACCATCTTAACGGTTAACCCTTGTTTTCGAAAGTAGATAATAATTGAAGAAGGGAAAACTTTTTCAAAAAGCTCAAAAACAATTTTTACGTCCGGAATGAGACATCATATAATTTTCAATAATATAGAGGAACTAATATAAACCTTGAAAAATTGTATTCATCCGAATATAATTAATTGTTTACTACGTGACTTTCCAATTCTTGCAAAAGTTCAGAATAGAATTTTCGCTGAGTTCCCGCCCGTTAAAATTCAGCAAGAAAAAAACATGTCATAGATATCTTCAACTAGGACGGAAACGAGGACATTTTTATAACAGAATATAACAGAGCCCATCGCTCATTACGTAAGAATATACAACAAATTTTAGAAAATCACTATTTTCTATACGTCAAAGAGACACGTGTAGATATCTACTCCCGATAAAACCTATTTTCTAACTACTAATTTTCTAAGTTTGCTATTGTATCCCCAATAAAAGCTATAGTTGATATATAATATCCTATGTATGAACTTCATAATTTTTATAAAAACACCAAACTGTAGTTTGCGACAATAGAAGATCCCTAAATTCTAAAACAATACTGAAAAACCATTTTTACACGACATTTTCCGCACATAGCACTATCAATGGTCGAATTGAAAGATTTCACAGTAGTTTTACGGAAATAGCGCGCTGCAAGAGATATATTTCTGACACAATTGAGTAAATCCTCCTTGCGACAACTAAATACAATTCACTCAGTATTTAAAAAAAAAGACCGATAGAATAACTTAAAAAATTAACAAATACTTTACTTACGTCCCTAAGATTATCCTGCTCACATTTAGCTTTTGGGTTAACGCAAAAATCCTCAATTACACCAACTTCTACTATATTCCAATTACATCCGGGAAAGTAGCTGTTTATGAGCAATACGACTTTCTGTTCCATAAGACTAATCTTTTGACATTCGCAGCAATAGCAGAGATTACATTTGCCTAACCAACATTCAGCAAAATGTAAATCAAAATCCGCCGATAATATCGCCGCCATTGAAGGAGTCGTGGATGGTATTATCGTAATCAATGACCAACCAGCATCTATACGATCCACAAACGTGACCGAATTAACGAAAGGAACACTTCTCTTAATTTTTGATGACGATGAGAATTAATTACTTCAACTAGAACAGATTGGCACGATCCCACCCTGAGGCAGCACCCGCAAAAAGGATAAATTTCACTGAACATATTGATTTATTGTCACTCCCATATTTACAGAATATGAAAGGAACTTCAAGCACATATGTATGTATATTATCAAGTCTGGCACACTTCTTCTACTCTTATTTGTAGTCGCTATAATCGGAGCAATCATACTATAACGTAAAAAGAAAGGCCAACACCGTGATATAGAACAAGATCGCAAAAGAAACCTAGGAGGCCTTTATTTCAAGAGCGAGGATAGTTAACACCCGAAAATTTCTGAGCATGCATCAACAAATCAAACAGTCACCGACATTCCTCCATTCCGTACTTACCGCCCGTATCAAACCAAATTTGTCAAAAGTTATAACCGTAGTTGCAACGCAGAAATCAGTTATTCTCTTTTGTTTTCATTTCACCAATGTTGCCATTGTTCTATTTGTATACACGATTTTTCACACATTTAGTTTTTTAGTTATAATTTTTCGTAATGTAAAAGCTGAAAACTAAAATCCAACTATTGAATATAAGTAAGTAATAGTTTACCTATTTATAAATAAGTGTATTCGAAACAATCGAATTTGATAAAAAATCCAATTTTCGTGGATATCCTACCGTACCGTCTGTTGAAGCGGACGGTAAAAGCGGTGGTGACTGTTCATTTACATTGCGCTCTCATAAGATAGGTCGTATCAGCTGATTCGGTCCACGGTTTTGAGTCGGTGACTATTTGTGCCATAAGAACAACTTCAACAAACACATAAGCTAAGCGATTGCATATTCAATTTCTCCCCCATCGAATTGATGACAATGTATGGTATTTGCAAGTTTGCTAAAGATAATAAACAACTTTGGGAGTCAGATTACACCAAAGGGCTTTGCGGTCATGCGGATGCAACTACAAGTGTTTAGGGAAGTCAGGCATTTGGCGTAGTCGCCCCAAAAATGTAATGTCTGGATTATTTGTAAGAACTCTCCCAGCGAATATAGCTGTACTTACGTAGAAAGTTAAATAAATCGTAATTTTATTAAAATCAACTCGTTTTGTTAATTTATACTTATAAAATTAATTGATTATTATAGGGTATATATAAAATAACTTAATAAAATACCAAATTTGATCGAAATTCAAAGGGAAGGTATTTCCCGTTTAACGTTTTTATTTAGGTATGTCTGTTGGATGGCGTTCACATGGGGACTATTTGTCGACTTTTGTCGCTCATTATCGGCAAATTCCCTTTTAGTGTCGCTCTGTGCATTCATACGAGCGAAAAGAGTCCAGCAACTCAAGCCGAGTTTTTCTGTCATTCCTTTTCATACAATTTTTGCAAATATTCGTGCGGTTCGGCTACGCGACACTATACTACGTCTTACATTTTGGTTGCAACGAATTACCATGATTTTGGTAGAACAATATGCATAATACCTATTCACTTAATAGTTTCAAAGAAATACTTAAGTCGGGAATTCCCAAATTTTTAAGTATTAAAACCCCATAATTTTTTTATTCCATATATTTTTCTATTTATTATATAACATCCTTGAATTAGTTACAATTCTTGTTTTAAATAAAATGATATTCGAAATAAATTCTTTGCGGTTATGCGGTAAGTTATTAAGAATGACAATAAAATTGAATTTTGAGTATCTTAATTTTCTCCTTATTTAGAATTTTTCAAAATATTTCTAAATGAGAATTTATAACACCGTTCTCTGACAGAAATATGTATTTACCAACATAAAGAGAAAAATGAAATACTTTGAACAAAAAATACAAATGGCACTTCACAAATGCATGATTATTTGTTGTCATATAAACGATTTTTATGATGAAAAATTGATAAAATATGATTTTTCTAATAAGTGTGACATAATAAAATGCGAAAGATTATGCAAAAAAAATATATTTTACTTTTTAATAATTTTCTAATTTCAATTGTTACAAAATTACTTATTTATGTATGTACATACATACATACTTACTTATGTACATCAATATGGAGTTCATTTGCATTCTCTGGTATGAACACATGGAGGAATAGAAATTTTGATATTATATTATCACTTATCAATAAATACATGTGCGCGTACTGCTCTATATGTAAGTATGTATGTACAAATATGCGTATGACATTGCAAAATAAGTAATGCATACACAAATCTACATACATGTATGCGTAAAAATGGTAGTATGTCAACCAATAGAAAAAAATACAAACATTGTTGTACAAAAACAACAATTGTCTCAAATAGCATGAGAAGCATCAGAAATCAATATGGCAGTCAAATCCTAAATTTTTAGTAAATCACACAACAACAACATTTTAATTTATAAACGCTGGCTAACATGCAATAAGCTAAGTCGTTTCATTCATAAAAGCGACCGCTTTACACATATCCCCGAGCATGCGTTTGCCCACAAGCGTCTTTTCGCGACGATGCCAAAAGCTAGAAATCATAAATTGAACAGCTTTCTGATGTTCCCTCTAGAAGGGAAAAGTGGCAATCATGCAAACCCACAAAACACAGAAAAAAGTGACAAAAAAAGTGTTCTCTGGTAGAACAATATTTAGAAAACCCGCAATTGATATTTTCAAAGAAAATCTTATGACGGGAATTCACCAATCCATCAGAACGTATTCGTATTGAATACCCGTTATTAATATCGAATATATTCCTCATATATCGGGAATTATTAAAAACCCTAATTTTTATACTCAACATTTTTTTCTATTTATTACAAAACATTAATTTATGAATTGCATTTCTTGTTTTAGATAAAATGTAACATGATATTCGAACTAAGTCATTTGCGATTAAAAAAAAATAAATATGAAAGCATTTAATATTTTAGGTTTACATATATAATATAAAAAAGTACATTAAAAACTGCTAAATGTTATTAAAAATTTTAATGAAATATTTTTGAGTATCTTAATTTTATCCCTACTTACAATTTTTTTTAAATATTTCTGTTATTCTATGCATATTTGCATATACAAGTACATACAATTTTTTAAAATATGTCTATTACTATATATTTGCATATTAAATACAAAAAAATTTAACTAAACTCAAATTTGCAACATATCGTATATATTCATTTGAAACAGAGCGCTATTGCAACCATGAAAAGAATTTCAAAATGAACAGGAATGCTGAATTGCGTAGCAGCGAAGCGTGCCACCCAAGCACGAGCGACACGTCCCTTCGCTTTCCTCGTAGTCGCCCTCGTCTACAAAAAAAACCGGTTTGGGCGAGAAAAGTCCGTGTGTGAACTGGCACTTACTTGTTGATATTTTAATTTGACGACCGCAAATTTGGTTGTATCCACTCATACTTGACAAGTACAGGTTCATTTGCATAGTGACGATTGTATAATCCTAGATATAGTAGATTTATACAATGATAGTGACAGTTGGAAGATGAACAAGTGAGCGGACAAAAAATAAACGTATTATATTATACTTTATTATCTTTATATTTAATATTTTTACTTCTACGCTTTCTTATTTTTCCTATTTGCGTTCTTTTTTTTCAATAAAACTGCAGCAAACCCAAATAAAAGAAAATCGTGCTTCGATGACATTACAACCGAACGCTAGGAATGCAAATGTTAAATGATTATTGACGTGTTTATTTGAACGTCTGCGAGCAAGACTTCACTTACACCAGAGAACGTATACCAATTATTTAAACGTCTCCAGAGCAGTTTAAACCCTTAAAATAAAGGAGATTTAAGATCGGCCTCTGCCGGACTCTATTCGCTTTCAAGAAACTATTTCATTTCTCGTCGTGCATCTATAATACAATTAAAGTTACTAAAGAATCTTCTACAAATCCGAATGTAGCATTGAAGAAATGTATTCACTTAAAAATTTTCAGGTTTAACCGAACAGAAAGTTGTCACTTCAACACCACAGCTTCAAGCCGCCTGCGAGATTCGCGATATGCTAACATAATATCATCCAAAGTCATTGCACTTGTTCTGTTTGTACATGGTGTCAGTAATTCACAGTTGCGTTGTCTGAAACATTGACAATTAAGCTCTAGTTGTCCCGTGCTCTGAATACGACAACCGTAACGTGATTTAAGAGATTTATCTGTGACCATGTCTGTATAAAAATGCATAAAATCAAATAGTTGACGTCCACCAATTAAATCACGGGTGAGTGTTTCTAATATTCCTTCGGCAGGGCGCAGACACATCAGCTTCGCCGAGTTCGATCCGGTTAACAGATATGTAGAATAGTATGAATATCCTTCAATACGTTCGCGCCCCCAGTGGTCGATAGAAATAACCTCGAAGTATACATGCAACAAGTGAGTGAGATTAAAGTCTTCTTCGCAGAGCAAAGTCAATTGCCAATTATAACCGAAGAAGCAATCATTGTTAGCGGGACCAGGAGAGCTAGCATGTGTACTGGCGTTCAACGCACCTTCTTCGAGAATGGTGTTTACTGGCAATTGAATATGATAACGTACATGAATATTGCCGTAGCTGAATCCACTCGCCTGACGCAACTCAAAGAGCAATGATACACGGGTTGTGCGTTTCGGCGGCAGATCAAACAAGGTATTCAAGTCTCGTTCTTCCTGCCAATGGGCGGTTAACTCGGGTAGACGCAAGTATAGCGTCGGATTTGCAACATGTCTGCGTTTTGAAACATTATGCACAGCAAAAGCATACAAATGCCGATAATCAGTGTCGATTTGGATATAATAGGGATTCACCGCGAAATCGTTGAAATCTGGATAAATGTGTAGTTGTCGCAATTTCGGATACCAAACAAGAGATACTAATTGTGTGTCTGGTGATATGGCCGCAAAAATGTACATAAACTGTTGTCCCGCTGTGATTTCGACAAAACTCGCTTGTTTTTCTATCTTGTCACCATTTATTAATAGCGCATTATTATCCGGATTGAAATCGTCCTCATGCACGTAGGTAAATATTTCACCACAACGTTCTTTGGGTGAGGATTCTGCTTTTCGCGACTTTTTATTGCGTTTCTTATGATGACCACGTTTGCTAGCTTCGATCACCGATGAAGTGCGCCCTGACGAAACTTCGGACACCCCAGCCTCCAATAGCCATTGATTATATTTCTTTTGTGTATCAGTGAGACAAATTCGCTCATCCTTATAGAGTTCAATTTCCGAAGGACTTAAAAGCTTTTCTTGCCAACGTATTCGTGTCAAAGTAATTGCATTATTAGTTTGTTCAAAACTTTCAATCTTTTTAGTTGAGTTATTGATATTTACTTTATTGAGAGTCAGATCGAACTTTGGCAATTTCAACAGAGAGTTGATGTGACGGAAATGCACTTCCAATTCTAGATATTCAATATTGTCACGTATATTATAGATGCCCGTATGTTCTGGAAACGTATGAAGCATTTTTATGCCTGCACTCCTAAATCGTTAAACTACCAAAAAAATTTTTCCTTTTGTAGCGTTCGTTGTTTGTTTTGATTTTTAATCAAATTGTTCCCTTGACAACGATTTGATTTTACGATGCATTGTGGCTTCTTGTACTAGGTGGCGCACGAATCGTACTACAAAAACAAATCGAAATACCTTTTTTTAATAACATTTACTTATTTTTTTATTGTATAGCAAACTTTGTTTTATATAATTAAATATTTTTTTTTATATAATTAATATATTTAAATTCAACAGTTTTACAGATGTTTGCGCCATCTAGTAATGATATCTGCTCTACCGCCAAGCAGACACACATCTTATCAGAGAACGTAAATGAATAGAGACAGAGAATGTAAACAGAGAACGTAAACAGAGAATGTAAATGAATAGAGAAGGAGCAAATGTTAGCTGTACTAAAATGTTAATTACGATGAAGGAACATCGAAAACGCACAAGTTCGAAAATAATATTTCACCAACCTGTCAATTTACGCAACGAACTACACCACTCTATAAGCAAAATGTATATACATACATATGCACAGATGTTCTTTGATATGCGCATAAACAAAAATTAAAGTATTAAAATGGAGAATAATTGACTTATGAAAAAAAAATATAAGGAATGAGGGAAATAAAATGAAAATATAATTAAAATATCATTTAATAAAAAAGGGTTATAAAAATAAAAAAATACTATATAAAAATATGATAGGATTTGAACTTAGGCAAAATATTTCACGTTGCAATAAACAAGTCGACTATACAAGCAGCACCACAGAAAATATTCATGCTAATTTGTCTAATCTGTGAACTCAAACAGCTATTGTTGTTTACTTGCTTCAATGTTCATATGTCTATATGTGAATATTCTTGAAATTGCCTTCCTTCATTCGCATGTCCAAATATATTTGCATATATGTACACATATGTACATATATCTAATCTGTGAACTCAAACAGCTATTGTTGTTTACTTGCTTCAATGTTCATATGTCTATATGTGAATATTCTTGAAATTGCCTTCCTTCATTCGCATGTCCAAATATATTTGCATATATGTACACATATGTACATATGTATGTCCCTCAAAATGTCTTTCGCAAAAAATCAAACACTCGCGCAAGTGACAAAAAAACGTAGACGCACCATCATCGGCCAATAATATTCAAGCGAACTCGCGGCTTATTTTCTAAGTATTTCATATTACAACGACAACAAATTTATTCATAAGGAACGTGCGTCTGCTTCAAAGCAAAGTGCGCTCGTTCATAACTCTGCGCCACGCTATTTTTTCTGTGCGCCTGGTAAACCACATTTGGTTTTCATATAGAATTCCTACGCATATGCGAAATTAAGTTTATAAAATGAATGAATGAAATTGAGTAAAACGAGAAAAATTCAATTGTACAATTTGACAGCCACCACTGAAAATCCTACCATCCCCCTCGCATTTGTATGTTGCCCACAAGCTGCTTCCTCACAACATTTGCTAAAAATCAGAAATTGAAGAATTTGTCTGATGTTCAGAAAGGAGAATTGGCAACATGACCTATTAGCGAGTTTAAATAATATTTATATTTTTGCATATTATGCACTATATATGGCATTAAATTATAAAATTTATATAAAATTGCCATTCATATGAAATTATTAACTACTTCTATATATTCTAAGCACACTGCATATAGTACTTTTATATGTTTACTTATTATCATTATTTCATAGTTTGTCGATTTAGCCCATTTTATCTAAATACAACGCTATGAAAATGCAGCCCAATCGGTAATCGCAATATTTCAAAAGAGTATAAGTCAACTTTCAATAGCAAACCACTGCGAAAAGGACAAACGAGACAACATAGCCGACCGACATTGTCGCAAAATTGTCGATACAAACAAATTTTGTCAACTCCGCGACGATTCACACAATTTGGTGTCAATATGTATGCGAGCTCATATATGTATGTATGTATGTATATACATATGTATGTTTGTGGACAAAGTCGTCATTTGGTTTTTTTCAACACAATGTCTGCGCGAACTCGCCGTTACTTCGTTGGCTTGCCACCATACACAGAGGCGTTCTAACTTAGAACCCTTAGTATATTATTATGTTGTTTAATTTGAATTGAAAAATACTGATGCATTTATGAATTATTTTCGTAATATAATATATATTATATATATAAATACACATATATTCATACCTATAATCGTTTTTAAACTAAATTCGATAAATAAAATATATATCTGAAATAATTATGTGGCAGTGCGCCCCAATCCCTCCTTGCCTGCGATCGTTCAACTCACAAAAAGCAAAAAGTGTGGACAAAAGTCATTGCTTGTGCGGGGCAAGAAGATAATACAGATTTTTAATTCAGAAGGCTTTTCATAATTATAAATTTGTCATATCATAGAAATTGAAAACATAAATCTAAATAGGTATGCGCAACGATTTTTCATATAGGAATATTCGTTTTGTCTATTTATAGCATTTCGCATATTGTGTGGTGTATTTTTCTTTTTCGAAGTTATATTTTTCGATGTTCCCTCATCTGGAACTACAAATTAGTACTCAAAAAGATTTCATTTAACATTTGCTCCTTCTCTATTCATTTACATTATCTGATGGTATAAAATAATATTTTTCAACCCTTTTCCGGTCAAAAGTCGGCCATTTGGAAACTAAAAATCAAGCCCAAAGCAATCTGGCAGTTCTCCATAGACCCCTCGCAGCTGTTGCTTTGTTTAAATCTTGTGTGGACCCAACACATCCGCCAGCACAATTTCGTATGTCATTATTCTTCGTTTTCTGTTACTGTAAAATTCTTACAATCTCGAGCTGGATTTTTTTAAGAACATCTATTCGATACAGACGTCATGAAGCTCAACACTACGTAGTCACAAATACTTTTAAATTTTAAGTTAAGTTTTCAGGTTCAGTCTTAATTATAAGAAAGTTTTGTAACAAAAATGAATTAAATAAATATGTGGTAACGTAAGTCCCCACATTCTTATCAGCTGATAGTTTCTCTACTCCCCATTTGCCATGCATACTACTCCATCATTCTTGGCCCAATACAAATTCTTAATCTTGAAAATTGTATATTCGTTTTTACTATTTTAGCATGATGATATTTCTATATGGTTGTATAAAAGATAGTTTTTACTCTTTCTAACTTTAGATTCCCCTATTAATTAGAAATGGCAGTGAATTTACATGTGTTAAGAAAAGCTGGAAAAGTGTTTGTTTTGTGATTGTTTTGTGATATGTGTTACCTCCGTTTTGGAGGGTTGTTGGAGGCAGTTTTTGCGAAATTTACTAGACGGTAAAAGTTTACGGCTGATTGCCGCTCTATAAGTTGTTCACCAATTGTTATATTACGAAGTTTTCTCGTGTATGTGCAAGTAATAATATTATATTAATGTACTATAACAAAACAATTGATGAGAGTACGATCCGGTAACCAATTAAAAAGTTTGAGCAAAAACATTTGTGTTATTTTTTAGCGAAACCTTAGGAATCAAAGTTGAACATTGATATGAGTCAGAAAATAGTTGACAAATCAATAATATTATTATTATTTGTAAATAATTATAAATAAATGCAGTTATACCATATTTTTAAAAAATAATTATTTCAAACCATCATAGCAAAATCGTGCTTTAGTGAGTAGATAAAGAGAAATTTTGTGTGCGTAAGAATTGAATCAAATTTAAATTCTATACCCAACAGTGTACATCTTTCTATGAGAGTTAAAGTTCGAAGTCTAATAGTTTGCCGGCAAACAAGTGCTCTATGCTTAAATTTTGATGTAAATCTTCATAATATAAAATGACATAAAAGTACCTATCCATAATGTGTCTATTGTAAAAATTTCAACCAAAAATAAGAATTAATTCACTAAAAAGAAGTTTCACAATTAAGCAAATTTATTTGCCTTTGTAAAATAACATAAGGGTAAATTTTCGAATAGGTTGATTTCACCACAGCTAGCTCAGAAGAAGAAATTTTTAATTATACCTTTCAGCATTTAAAATGTATATACCATGCACATATGTATTTATATATTCAAATCTGTATTATCGTATATCAGTAATAACGTGCACTACTCTATATGTACAGTGTGGACCATAAAACTGTGAAAACTTATTTTATTTATTAGTTAAACTATAGACCTGCATTATGTCTGTTATTTTAAATCGTTAAAAACTATTCACGGTTTCGGAAACTAGTACAGACTACCAGCACAACTTCTCGAATTTCGTCCCAAAGTTAGTAAGTTTTTCACATTTGTTAATTTTCCCATCATAAATCCCCATATACAAAAATCCAAAGGATTCAAATCCGGAGAAGAAGGGGGCCATTCATCCGCATATTGTCTTTGAACCACTACTGAACAATTCTTGCTTTATAACCCGGGACAAAATCTTGTTGAAAGCAGTTTGGATTACTGCGAAACATACTGGATACATGAGCAGAGAAGCACTTTCTCCAAATAATATTTTGCGTTAAGTTTTACGCATTTATCAATGAAAAAGAGAGGGAGTTTTCCCTTTGCAGATATGGCTCCCCAAACCATAACAGAGGTTTTACTTTGATACATTTCAACAACTCTTTTATTAGCTGGATTCTCAGACGTACTGGTTGCTTAAACCCGGTCATCTTGTGAGTTATGTTGTTCCGTTAGACCATGATTTCGCTTTTTCTTATAAGCCTCCATCCTAAAGTTTTTATTAATATTGTTTCGGTTGGTTTTTTTTTTGGTTCTCACAGGTCCTCAGCCAGTTTCCTTCCCGTAATTGCACAATTTTTCCCCATTCGTTCACGTACAATCTTAATTAGACTTGGAGTTCTGACCATGTAACTGCGACCAGGTTTTTTTGATATTTTAACGCTACCACTTTTCTCAAATTGAACCACAGTACGTTGAACGAATCTGCAATAAACATAAATGCTCTGGAGACCTTAACAATTTTACTTGTTGTTTTTCCTTGAAAATGTAACTTTTTCACCAGCTCTCTTTTTGATTCCTTGTCCACAAAAACTGAACACCAATTGAAGGAACTTAAAATTATGTTGCGTATATTCAAAATATACTTGCGTAAGTATTTAACAATAGAAATGTGTATTGGGAAGTTGTTAAAACTTATGCTGGAAACAGTCACCGACATTCCTTCCCTCTGTACTTATCGCCCGTATTAAACAAAATTTGTCAAAAGTTATGCCCGTAGTGGCAACGTAGAAATCAGTTGCTCTCTTTTGTTTTCATTTCACCAATGTTGCTATTGCTCAATTTGCATACATGATATTGCACACATTTAGTTTTTTAGTTATAATTTTTTATAATGAAAAAGCTCAAAACTAAAATCCAACTATTAAAAATAGTTTACCGATTTATGAATAAGTGTATTTGTCAGTGATTTTGAGTTATTTTAAGAATTTTTCAAATATATTCCAGTTAATTTTTTAATTACTACAAAATATCGAGATTGGCAACCCTGCGTTGCAAGAGATTGCTCTCTCACTCTCAGCTCACCCGAGTCAATTTTCGCGGATATACTACCGTACGGTCTGTTGACAAGGATGAAATGATGCGAGACTCTTTGAATCGAGAGAGCGCTGTCAAAGTCCACATTTTTTATAACATTTGCCAATGTTGCCACTACCGTTTAAAAACGATTGGGTATTTTAAAAATACGTTTTGGATATTTTGCAATTTCCACACTACCATTGAGGTATGCAATTAGCGCGTTACCGATATTATTTTTGGGTGCTCGGTTCCCCAGTAGGCCTATATCACCCATATACTATATACATATTTACTTTTGAAAAATAATATATAATACTATGCAAACATAAAAAACTATAACAAAAACAAAACAATTCATAAAAAATATCACATCTGTATAAAGTATTAACAAACAAACAAACAAAAAAATTATAAACTTATATGAAATATTATATATACACAAAGAAAGAAAACATTTCATAAACAATATCACATTTATATAAAAATAACACAAACATTTCCCATTTATATAAAAAAATAAGTAAACAAAATTAAATATTACTAAAATACTTAAAAGCTATATCTTAGTATAATATTTACATATATAGACAATAGTATTAAATATAATGCCAAAATTTGCCAGAACCCAGTTTTAAATATACTAGTAAAAAAAAAAAGAAAGAAGGCAAAGAAGAAATAGGACACAAGAAATGGTCTCGAAAATTATATATCTATATATTAATTTTGAAGCTATTTTGTCCCAAAAATCTACATATGCGAAACACATAATATTTTTGCCCTAAAGTGAGGAGTACTTAGGTCCCTATTGAAAAACTTAAGTGAAAAAAATATACGTATCCTAATATATAACGCTAGAATAGCATTACTGTTGCTATTATCGCAACATTTATATGGGCTGACATTCTTCATTTTGTCGAACAATAATTGCCCTACACCTATTCTGTGACAAGTGGAATCAAATTCTCTAACAAAAATTGCTTCTACTGCTTTCAAATAATCTACAAATCCCTGTGGCGGCTTAATCAAATTGCACCTGTCCACTTGCCTTTCCTGCGTAAAGAGATATTCTAAAGAAATTTCGTCTCCTAAGTAGGGTAAGGGTTGGGAGCAAGTGTGTGTTTTAAATATTTTTAAATATAAGTAGCCGCTAAAATATGCAAATGCATTTTCTTTTAAAAAATCTACCTTAGCATCATCTACCTCATTATTGCTTTCTAACCCTAGCCTGTTGAACAAATGTTCAGGTCGTGGAAGTCCTTGAAACTCTTGCCACGATAAGTCCTGCGTTACACGGTCATTACACACACTTTCTATTAATTGATACGAAGTATTAGGGGAAAAACTTTCGTTATTGTTAATAGGTTCAAAGTTTCCGTTCGTTACTAAATTAGCGTAAACTATTTATATTAAGGATCCAACCCTTAAGGTAGTTGAAAGAGGAAGTAATATCAGCCCCGGTGTCATCGCTAACCCTAATTGTCTTTAAAAGTTTTATAGCCTCATCTAATAACTGAATATGTTCGGTCGTTGCCGAAAAAACTTTTTTGCTAGGCAAAATAGCTTCAAAATTGCTACTATTAAAAAACTAGGCGAAGGACAAGTTAAACGACCGGAACTATAAATGGATAACATTCCGGAAGCGACTGTGTCACTGAAGACTTGTCCTGCAAGTTTGACACTCATTATTTGAAAATTATTGGGAAAAATATGTGCATCTGAAAGTTTCGGTGCACAACGAATAGGATTTTGTGAATCTTTTTTATAAAAGTGCACTATATCGGACGAGACTTGAAATTTACTTTATTTTTAGAATTTTCGAGACAATTTCTTGTATTTTTCAAAAGGTGGGGGCAGTCATTGAAAAAAAATACATCCTTGCCATTTACTTCAAAGTATGGGTGTTCTTCTGAAACACCCAAGACTCTAGCTAAATTTAGAAAATTAGATCCCTGATCACAAACAAAATGGCATGGATTAAGACCTATGTTTTGCAACTGGGTAATGGCCTCAAAAATATATTTTTTGGCTACATCCCCTTTACAGGAACCATGGACAATAAAATATGATAGGGGGTGAGACCAAGGCGCTCCACCAATACCTTGGACCATCAGAGTCATTGCACTATTACCTATTCTAAACTAAAGCCCTGGCTTCTCAACTCTAAACACCTAATGCTGCTACTATTACATCCTGGATCACGGGGCCATTCCGAAACAAACTCGTCCAGAGTTCTCTCATCCGGAAACCTAAGGATTAGCTTAAGGTGTCTATAAGCTAAAGGTGAAAGGAAGTACACACCTAAAGCCAGTGTTTTAAAATAATTGTCGTATCTACGACCGTTATGGTTTCGGTTAAAATTTTTAACATTATTTTGTACAATGGCGCTTATCTGTGGAGGAAAATTACTACAAAAGTGACCTATTACATCAAAACCTTCCTCTTTCTCTTTTAACTCATTTTGTAATCTTTTATAATATATTTCCTAGCTAAATCTTGTAATTGAAATTTGAGGTAACTAATTTCCCTTTCCTTTTTTTCTAGTTTATTTTTTAACTCAAAATTTTCCTCCACCAATTTCTGTTCCCTAAACGCCCCTGATACTAAATTTAAATTTGTTTGGATTCCTATGTCTTTACAATGCGTTCTATCAAATAACCCTATTTCTTCCTGGGCTTCTTTTGCCACAGATGCTAATAACATTAAATTGTTTGAGATATCGGGCGATTCCGCAATAACTGGCAAAAAATCTTCATAACCCAATTCGATTATTGAATTGGGACTATAAACTTCTTCAAAACTGGGTTCGGACACATTTGGCAAATGTATGTCCGGAACCGCATTTTATTAAATTTCTTTTCTAACTTCATATGAATGGAGAAGTGTCGATCGCACGCAAACAAATATTTATTTTTAATATGTCCTACACCCAAGCGTTGCAGCCAAATCAAATATCTAATTAAAATATAAATAAAAAAGTCCTAAGCCTTACAACCAAAATAAATTTAATGAAAATTCAGAAAATTTCTACTACTAGTTCTATACTTTTCTAATTAACGGATAAAATAAAAATCTAATTGCAGCAATTTATTTCTACTATTCTACAATAGTAAAACTTTTACAATAAAAATATTATAATTTTTTTAAATTATTTCTACACTAAGTAATACAATCATTATTTTAATAAAATTAAATATATACGTTTAAAAATTTAATAATATCATGCATTAATACAATATCTTCTATATTAGTGGATACCATACCCTTACAATATTAATAATTTCAAAATCTAAATTTAAAAAATTTACCATTAACGTTTTAAACTTTTGGACTAACCTGTCTTTATCCTTCTCCATACAAGGAAAGTTGAACGTATGCTGTCCGCCCTCGCATCCCACAACGCATTTTCACACTGAATTGGAATATATCACAAATATCATCACTATTATTATTTATTGTACGCAAATAATTTATTTGAATTTACTTTTATCAATATAATAATACGTACCAACTTGTTCACTGAAATTCTGTTTCACACCGAATTCTGTCGGTTATTTATAGCGGTATTATTTCTGGCATCCCGCCTTTTTTGACATCAGCTGTTCGAAATTCCCTGATTTTAATAATCAGGGAAAGAGAATAACAGAAAAATCAGCGAAAATGAGAGAGTCTCGCATCATGTCATCCATGCTGTTGAAGCGGACGGTAGAAGCAGTGGTGACTGTTCATTTACATTGCAGCTGATTCGGTCTACGGGTTTGCGTTGGTGACTGTTTGAAGCATTACTTGGCTCAGCCTAACGAAGCATCAAATAAGTGCGACAGTACTGCGTATGACATTGCTACATAAATAATGCATACACAAACATACATACTTAAGTATATGCGTACACATATATAATATAATATATATAATTATGTTACCAACAAACACTTCCAATATTGTTCTACAAAAGGAACAATCGCCTCAAATAGCTAAGCAGCGTCACAAATCCATATGTCAGCCAAATAGCCGAAGCCCAAATTTATTCATTGATAAAAGCAGATACCTACACAACCCCCGAGCATGCGTTTGCCTACAAGGGTCTTTTCGCGACGATGGCAAAAACTAAAAATTATAAATTGAAGAGCTTTCTGATGTTCCTTCTGAAAGGGAAAAATGATAACCCCACAAAACACAGAAAAAAGTAGCAACATAGCTCTTGTCGATTTAAAATATATGTCAATTCTAAAATATCTTTCCATGGCTCGCAAAAATCTCCCTCGATATGTATTCATGATCAGACATAAACATACATATTTGCGATGGTTTGTAGGCAACGCTGTTAGAGCGCCAAGGGAAGCGGTGACAATCGGCGACCGTTCGTTAATTTTTTTTCGGTACAGCTCGCTTTTTCTAACAACAACACAATATTGTGACGCTTGTCGTCGCTCAAACAGTCAATTCTTCCACACATTGACTCTTTGACATAAAAACAAAACCATGAGCTTCGGCAAATAATAGGTGTACACAGTTTTTATTTAATAACTTTGAAGAATTTGCATTTAAAACAATTTTGTTTTAGACATATTTACGCTTGTTTTATTAATCATAAATATATCGAAAATCTTTCATTCCGAATTTTAAAACTGAAATTTTTTTTTCAAAATAAGAAATATCACTGATCAAAATAATAGGTGTAAAATATTTTTTTCTAAGTAAAATCGTTATCCTTTTTTCGGTCCATGGGTTTTGGATAATCTGTATATCCTCCATGGTTTTTCATTAGTTTTCCAATTCTATTCGACATGGATTAAATTAATTGCTCCTTATTTTGAAAAGAAAAGGCTGTCAATCTCTTCTTAAGGTCAATTAGAAGTTCTCAATCGGGTTGAGATGAGGGGATTGACTAGGCCGTTGCATACAGGTCACATTTGCTCCCTGAACTACTCAGATACCAACCTCGATGTATGTTTGGGTAGTTATCTTGTTGATAGCAACACGTTTTGGAAAATAACGAACCAAGGCTTTGCCAGGATAAACATCCCATACCATTATGTTTCGGCCCCCATGCTTAATTGTCTTTTTGGTGTATTTACAATCAAATTCTTTGCGACGGACAGTTCTTTTATAATCATTTCCATAAAAATTAATCTTAACTTCGTCACTGAATAAAATATTTTGCCATTTTTTTTTCTCCAGTGGGGCCGCACCAAATTTTATAATCAGCGGCAAAAGCTTTTCTCTTCTGTGTGTGGACCTTTCTTAGAAGAGGAATTTTTCTGGCCTTACGCCTCGGTAGATTGCCGTTCACAAATTGACATCGAATTCAACTTCAGTCACAAAAGGGACCTTTTTTGCCGTGGGAAGTATACGGCGATCATCAATCAGGCAAATTTTTCTTGGACGACAACGAGTTTCTTTATCATTTTTTTGCTCTAGAACATAAGTTACAAAGTTTTTCGACCTCCCAAACGTATTTGCAATTAATTTATACGTTTTCCTTCATCACGCAATTTTTTTTACCAATCGATGCTCTACATCGGTACAGTGGCTTTTACGGCTCATTCTAAATAATTTCTTGTTTTTAGTTTATGGTGTTTGTTATGTACATTAATATGAAAAATAATTCGAAATAACACTTATTTTTAAAAACATATTACTCACACCTATTTTATTGGCCAACCAAATTTAATGAAGCAATGATAATTTGTCACTCAAACGCAAAATTAATAAAATAGTAATGCAATTTGTTGATACTTATGCACTACTCTTTCGCCTTCATCGTAAAAATGTAAAGGTATCAAAAAAAAAGTAACAGTTACAACACCATTTGGCTAAAAAACAGTACCAGCTAAACGCACACCTATTATTTTGTCCATATGGAAATATTATTTATAAAACCTAAGTATACTAATTATACGTTCTATGGGTACGAATTGATAGAGGAGGTTCTCCAAATGAAGAATATATACATACATACATACATGTAGTAGCTTCCGTTGACTTATGATTTTTTAGATATTTAAGAAAAAATTAAATCACATTAAATATTAGTTATTACTTATTAAATATTAGTAGTAAAGTAGAATTAAAATTTGTTCACGTTTGTGAACTTCGTGTTCTACCATTTTGAACTAAAGCTCGCACGGAGCCATCATCTTCAATACTCTAGAACAGTGGTCAGTAAACTTACACATTTAAATAATTAATATTGGGATATTTGGGATTCAAAATTAAATTAAAATTTTTTACTTTAAATTAAATAAAATAAAAAAGTAAATAAAATTCTTTGATTAAATCTTGAAAAATTAGTTTCCAAAATCGGAATTAATAATTTAATTTTTAAAATTTGAAAATTTAAACATATATACATATATAGTATGTATTGTACAGGCTATTTGCTTGACACAGTAATAGTTTTCCGCTGCAATTAATTCCAAACTACGTTATTTTAAACAAATAGTAACATCTAATATAAAAAATAGATTACCCCAACGATGTTTTACACAGAGTTTTATAGTTTTGTGTTACTACCACAAATGGTATTATATATATGTATATAATGTGATATTCAATATTTACATTACATTAGTTAACAGGTAAAAGTAACAAAAAACTCGATGACTCTATTTACATATTTTTATTATCATTTTAATTATTTTTGTTTTCATTTTTATGAACAGCTGCCATAAATCTGTATGTATCAACATCTTTTTTTTTACCATTGCAGATATTTAGTCCAATAAGTTGGTTTTGATTACAATAATAATACTCGAATAAGTTCCTTGAGCACTCATATTTATCCTAAATTCTGCAAGATGCTGGATTCCCTTTACAATTATTGGGCAAATTTACCAGGTTATCATGTATTAGGTTTTGGATTAATCGCTTATTTTACCTATTATCTTATACTAGTGGTTAAAGTAAGTGAACTTGTTTATATATGTATGTACATATGGAGTTGGGTGATCCAAAAATCAATCTATCGAATTAAAAGAAAAATACATTTTTCAAGTTGGGTGCAGTGGGCTTTGATTCTTTCTGCGAATTTTGAATATGTTTCTGTACAATGACCTTTGTTTTTAACAATATTGCTTGAACAATACCTTACAGATTAATAATATTTTTTATTTGTTTGTTTTGGGCTACGGTGACGGCAGCATCACTACAGCAGTGGAGGACTTTTTTTTAGAAACTTGGGAAATATTGAATAAGTCGCTAAACTTAATTATTATTTTTTGATATTTTTTGTGTATATTTTTAAATTACATACATATGTATATATGTATAAATATATCCTTAAGATTTTGAGACCTTTCATAATTTTTTTTATTCTCAAAAATCACCTTTTTAGTTGTGCCCTTTATTTTTAAGGATATACTATTTTACAACGCGGATTCTTGTAGAGCATAAAACTTTCTACCTCACATGAGCAGAAAATGATAGAGTCGTGTTCCGAATTTGTTCAAATCATCAAATGTGTTAAAGATATTGTTGAACGAGCTATTGTGTTGATACGGAAATACAATCGAACTCTAATTCTGGAATTGGTGACCGACGTGCTGCCTTCAAACTTAGTTTTAAAATATCGAGATTAGCAACCCTGCCTTGAAAAAGAGCAATCAGCCGACTCGTTTCTACGGAAAAAAAACAATTTTCGAGGATATCCTACATTACGGACGGTAGAGCGGTGTTTAATATTCATTTACATTGCTCTCTCATAAGATAGGCCGATCAGCTGATACGGTCTACGGGTTTGCGTCGGTCACTAATTGAAGCATTATTTCAGCATAACAAAAAACTAACAATAAATATAAATTAATCGACAACAATATCGAAATGGTTATTAATTGAATTTTATTAAGAACTAAATTGAATATATAAAAGATTACAAAAACAATAATGAATTAATTGATAAACATACTTTTTTGACAAATCTAGACAAACGATATTTTTAACTATTTTATTTTATTTGAATATAGGTTTTTTTTGATTAAATATCAACTATTTTAATCAAAAAACGCTAAAACTGCATATTTTGAGTTTTTTTCAGTTGTCAAAGCTTTTATGATTTTTATCCCAAACGATTCAAAATTTATGTTATTTTTTAATTAAAGTAATTTTTATATAAAAGTTGTTATTTAAATGCAGTGGTATTTTTATCTCGTATATAAGTTCACTTATCCCAAAAATTCGATTGGTCAGTTTATTTTTTGGCTCACCCAAATATGGAGTAATTATAATAAAGAACAAGCAATCATAAGTATCAGTATTTATTTATTAGTATTTATACTTATAATTAACATTAATTTTCTGTTTTTTGTTCGCCCTTAACTTCTAATAGCGCCCAACATTCGTTTGTGCCGAAGGACCACTTAAGAATTATCTTCTGCGGGAAATACCAACATTGAGTGTAAAGTTTTGGCCTACATTTTGGTGTTTAGACAGTCGCGCCCAAACAGTTTTTGCCAGTGTATTACGTTCCAAAGTTATACCCCCTATTAACTATAAAAGGTAATATCTAACATACAAAAACTAAATTATACTAAGATACATACTTGTATGTATAAGTATATAATTTTTGGCTTTATTTATTAGTAGATAATAGCAATATATTTAAAAATGTTTAATATGTGCAGTGATATTTCATGCACATGTCAGTTATACGTAAGTGTTACGGTAGTAACAAGTAATTTAGGAGTTTGACCCGGACAAAACATGATACGCAATTTTTATGTACATATACGTTAATAAATATATGTATATAGTTCTATCATATTATTACTATACATTTTTAGAGAAATTTACACTCTGAAAGATGGAGGGGAAGTAGCTTTGGACTGGATGGACACTAATTGCAATTCAAATTCACCTTGCATTATTATTTTACCCGGCTTGACGGGTAATTCACAAGACGAATATGTTAAGTGCCTTGTATATGCCGCCAATAATTCTGGCATACGTGTTATCGTCTTCAATAATCGCGGACTTGGTGGTGTGACTATCAAAACGCCACGCCTCTACAACGCCTGTAACTGTGAAGATTTGGCTGAGATAGTGCAACATGTTCGAAATGTATTGCCTGCACACTGCAAAATAGGAGCTACTGGTGTTTCAATGGGTGGGCTAGTGCTGGGTGAGCTGCATTACTGTTATGTGTTCATAAGTACATACGAATAAGTTTTTGCTTAATTCTGTTTCAAGGCAACTATTTGGCACGTAGAAGCCAGGAGGCGCGGACGTATTTGTCGGCAGCTAAAATTATTTCAGTACCTTGGAATGTACATAAAGGTACGTTACCGATACTGCATTTGTATACTCTGCTGCAACATAGAGTGTATAATTATTTTTTTTGTTTGACTAACAGTTGTTTGTAACACCAAAAACTAATCGACATAAATAGAGAGTTATGTATATAAAAATGACGAGGATGACCGCCCGTCCGTGCAAACGATAACTTAAGTAAAAATTGAGAAATCTTAAAAACTAAGGGCCCACAAAATGCAGTTAACATAAAAGTGCCATAACAAAGCTCCACATTAAGATACAAAATTGATTTGCTACAATGATGTGGCTCTGCACACATTTGAGTGAATATATCTCAGGAACTACTATTTCAAACATATAACAATATTTTGCCGACCTTATAAAACATTGTGAAATTGGGCTATATCGGGCAGGGGAGGTTTGCCCCTATATATCACCATTTTAAATTTCATGATTCTTTCACTTCATACAGTATATAGCAAATGGCGTTATCCAAATAATACGTTGCATAAAAAGATTGCATACCTTAATTTAATGTCCAAAAATAGTTGAAACCGGTACGGACCCTAATTTTTATCCGGCCAAGGACAGCCAACTGGGCAATATTCCTCCAAATTACTTCAGGGATGTTTTCTTCCGCTGCAACAACAACAACAGCTTCTTTGGTTCAATACTTCCCTTAGCCCGCATATACCTAATAGAAAATTTTCTATTGACTTTATACCGTATCACCTAAAATGTATAAAATCCGCCCGATAATAACCTTGCCCGCCATATACTTACCTAATATACGAATACGAACTCCGGTTGGATTTATAGCGTACACTTATTTATGAATCACTAAGTAACATGTCTTAGCAAAAGCAAATTTATATTACTGGATATACTGCGGCTTCATTCCAAAAATGTGTGTGTGATATTTATGTATATGAAATTAAGTATATTTCTCAAAACTAATGTGGTTAAGTGTTGAATATGTATCGAATTGGTCAAGACGTTGGCATAATCCTTATATAACTAATATAATGATTCGGATTATTTTCTATGCGATTTCTTCGAATATTGAATGTTTAATTCTTTCGCTACATTTTTTATTATAAAGTTTTGCTTACACCTAAAAAAAAATTGCCGGCTTAGAACCGTGCAATTGCAAGAGTATAAAATGTTCGGTTACACCCAAACTCAGCCCCTCATTTCTGGTTTGATATAAATGATTTGATTTGAAATATTTTCGGTTTGCAATCCATAGCTATTGATAGTATAGAGCAACCTATATTAAATAATCTTCTCGGCCGTATATTGACGCGAAATATGTATCGTACATTGAAGAGAAGTGGACTGCACGAACATCTGGAGCTCGATATGAGAAGCATTAAAACAGTACGGTCACAAGTTGTTAAATGAAGAAATATAAGTATTAACTTAATTTATTTCAGTGCAAAACAATTAGAGAATTCGACACCAGTTTTACTATTAAACATTTTGGTTATCCCAGCGTAGAAGATTACTACAACGATGCCACTTTGCAAGATAAATTGCAGCACATCTCCGTGCCACTACTTTGTTTAAGTGCTGCCGATGATCCATTTCAACCACTTGATGGTGTGCATTGTCTGTGTTTATCTATCTTACAATGAAACAGTTAACTTTTTATTATTTTAGCCATTCCCATTCAGGCGGCAAACGAAAGCAGTCACGTGGCTATTATCGTAACTGCTCGTGGAGGTCACATTGGATTTCTAGAGGGATGTTTTCCTTCGGCTAAAGATCAGTACATAAGCCGTGTTTTCGTAGAATACTTTACCAAAGCCTTATTTGACGAAGAAGGTGAATTTCAACGAATTAAAGAAGATCTTAACCGAACATATCTTGAAAAACATAGTGATTTGAAAGTTTAATATTATATAATATTTTAAACATATTTGTTGACGATTTTACTGGTTAATTAAATGAATAAGTCGTTACTCAATATATATATGAATGATTAAAATAGAGAAATGGAAAAAAGCTACTAAATTTGAGGCGATATATTGCATTTATTGTCTTGTCCATATTTTTTACAATAAGTTCAAAATTTTAACGGGACTGGATCTAAGAGCAATCTCTTACAACGCGGGGCTGCCAATCTCGATATTTTGTAGTAATTAAAAAATACACTTGAATATATTGAAAATATTCTTAAAATAACTCAAAATCACAGTCGAATACACTTATTTATAAATAGGTAAACTATTTTTAATAGTTTGATTTTAGTTTTGAGCTTTTACATTTAGAAAAATTAAAACGAGAAAACTAAATGTGTGAAAAATCGTGTATACAAAAAGAACAATGGCAACATTGGTGCAATGAAAACATAAGAGAACAACTGATTTCTGCGTTGCAACAGAGAACGTATATCATATATAGCAGAGAATGTTAATGAATATATGAATTATATAGGCTCATATTCGGATTGTGCTTAACCCCTTCCCACTTACGACTTCAGCCACCTTAAAAGTGGAAACGCGGCCGCTTAGCCACCGTTTTATTGTTATCCTTTGTTTAATAAGCAATTACTCACGCAACGCACATACATAAGTTGGAAAAATTGCCTATTAAATGTTTATTTTATTATGAATTCTGGGGTTTTCACCGGTAATACAGATTTTTAATTCAGAAGGCTTTTCATAATTATAAATTTGTCATATCATAGAAATTGAAAACATAAATCTAAATGGGTATGAGCAACGATTTTTCATATAGGAATATTCGTTGTGTCTATTTATAGCATTTCGCACATTGCGTGGTGTATTTTTCTTTTTCGAAGTTATATTTTTCGATGTTCCCTCATGTGGAATTACAAATTAGTACTCAAAAAGTTTTGAGTTAACATTTGCTCCTTCTCTATTCATAAACATTCTCTGCTCTTTCTCTATTCATTAACATTCTCTGATAGCGCTCTCATAAGATAGGTCGTATCAGCTGATTCGGTCCACGGTTTTGCGTCGGTGACTGTTTGTGCCGTTACAAATGTAGCTGTGCCAAATGGAATGTAAAATTTTGACAGTTGAAGTTTAAAACAAATGAAATTGCGCCAATTGAATGTTTGCCTTGTTATTTAAATTATTAAATATATTCGTAAAATTAATAAAATTAAAAGTAAATATTTTGATTGCTAATAACAATATCAATGAAAGAAAAAAATTCATTAATTTGAAGATTTGTGCTAGGCTACTGACGCTATTCACTTGCATTCGGTATACATATGTATGTACATACGAGTACTGTCATTGGAATTCGCCACAAAAAAAGTTATTCAGGGGTGTTGTGGAATTCAAGACAGATTTGCGTAGTTTTCGGAATTGCACACCAATTCTGATTTTGAATGGTGTCACAGATTGGATTTGCGTCTTTTCGAACATATGCAAAACCAATATTCGAATCAGCTGTCTACTAATGAGACAAAATTTTCAAATGAATAAATTAGGAAGCGTTTTATACAATTGAAATGCTGAATGAAGTCTACTAAAGTTTACAATAAGTTCCGCTATTTTAGGTTTTATTTTATTTGAAGATAAAAAGCAACGAAAAAAATAAAAGGAATATATTAAAAGATCACAGTAATCCACTTGTATACATGCTTACTTTACAGATTTATATCACACTATCGACTGAATAAAAACGCATTTGGGTGTTAAATTATGTTTGTTACGTTTTGTAAATTCTCTTAAAATATCTTGATTTTTTCCATAAACTCGATAATTATGAGATTTTTTGTTTTATTCTTATGTTTTCCCCTATAGAAATAACGATAAATTAAATCGTAACAATAATATAAATTATTTTCTTAATTTACATTTCAAATCTGTCAGCAAAAATCCTCTTGCTTTGTTTCTGATAACAAATTCTGTTTCGAACAACTATCAGATTCTACAACACCGCTGATTATCAGCCATATTCTGCATTTCACTTTCACATACAAACGCAGTGATTCAGTTTGAAAATCGAATTTGCCTGTCCCAGAAATCGAATAATTTTTTGATGTGATTTCGAAATGAAATGCCTTGTTCTGAAACCCGAATTCACACATTTAAATGTTATTTGAAAACGAAAAACTTATAACTTGTGATTTCATGTCTTGGATATGTGGGCGGAGCAAGGTTCGAGGAATAGTTTTCTGTCAAGAATTTTCCATTAACTTTAGCTTCAGGATTCCAGCCCACTGTAGTTTTTTTTAAGCAACAGTGGCTACAATTACTCACTAGCAGTAGGATAAAGTCTTATACTGTACCTTTTCCACAGCCCATCTTTTGTTAGATTATGGTTGAAGCATACCGGTAGAAGTACGAGTACCTTCTACGAGCCAGACTGAATGGCTGGAATTGATATTTCCATCTTAACACAACAACTCAAGGCACTTTGTTGATAACAAAAGGAGACAAATTACAGAGTGAAATGAACTTGCAACTGATCTTAACAGTCATTGCAATACTGTATAATCTGAGCAGCCATCGATACAACTAACCACTCCAGGATACCAAAATTTCCTTCAAAGTTAACTACAGTATCCCCCGCTTAATTAACCCCCGGTCATTTGATTTACCCGCTTATTTGAGTCACTTGATCGGTCAAAAATATATTGCATACAAAATATATGTAAATTTTTTTTTTTTTTTTTTTAATTGAGCCCGGTTAATTGCTTTCCCGCAGAATTGGTTAAAAATTTGTGTTATTCAAAAAAATATATAACAAAAACTTTCGTTAAAAAAATAATCTGGCATTGCCACACATACATATTTCGCAGCATTTATTATACACAACAGTTAGAATTTCTTCAAAGCAATTAAAAATATTATATTGTATGTGTATGTTTATTGGTGAAGATATTTTTGACGGTGCTGATGTTGAGGAGCAAACGAAAGAAGATAATCCTGCAAAGCCTCCGTCAGTTCTCGAAGTTTTAAAGACATACAAGACATAACTTCAAACATATTTTTTATTTAGATAACAAGTTTTTGTGTGAATTAGGGAATATAGAATTCCATTCCATCAATTATTACTTGTAGATTGAAAAATATACACAAAAATTAGACTTTCTAAATTAACATTTAAAAAATGTGAGCAACGATCTCTAAATGCGTGAATGCAAGTATATATACAATAATATGATTTTTTTTTTAATACATTAAGTTTATTTTATTTCTAATAACAATTATCTCTAAATATATACATATACTTGTGTAAGTGCATTGTCTGGTTTCTGTTCCTTATATTATTCTCGTTTAAAGTTAAAAATATTATATAAATATCATATCTTTTAAACGGGTTTGATTACAGAATTGAGGCAAAGCGTTAGCTTATGGATTTGGATGATTAAGGAGTTTAAGTTCATACCTTTATCTGCTGTCCCCTACTTCTTGCTTTACCAAAAAAATACAAAGATCTGTGTGAATGTTTTCATTACAAATGTACTATGGTAAACCCCTTATAGCTCTAAGGATTTTTGACTACATCCTATGTATTATATCAATCTTAGTTGCAGAGGTGAATACCATGCATCCAAATTGGCATTATTACTGCGTTGTGTAACACAACTTTCTTGTTATGATACCTGTTGTATATAAGATATGTACCCTTGAGGTACACCAACCCTTATCAGTCGTTCATCTGATATGAAATTAGCCAATTTAACAGTAAATCTCCTATTTTTTAAATAAGACTCCAATGTTTTACTCGTATACAATTCGAAAGAGAATAATTTTTTAATTTTACATGCCACACCTTATCGAATGCCTGAGCTACATATGTGCATTAAGAAATATTGCTGAAGAATACTCTCTGTACTCGAATGCCTTTCTAATTTCGTTAGTAATTCTATTTACTTGCTCTACTGTGCCATGTTTTGCACAAAGCCCGAATTAGTGGGTTGGAGTTGTATTATTTTCATGGAGGAATGGAGACAACTTTGATAGTAACACTTTTTCAAATATTTGGAAAGGCATGATAGGAGGCTTATTGGTCTGTAAGAAGATCTCTGTGTTAAGAGGTTACATGGGTTTCGTCGGGTAAAAAACGGCCTATTTTCAATAAATTTTTTTTTTTTTGTAAAAAATTATATAATATATTTAATTCAAATTGTTTTCTGTCTTAAATATACACATTTAAAGAATAATTTCTGAGATTTTCAAAAAATTAAAACTCTGCCATTGTAACGTCATTTCCAGTGACCCCTCGAAAAAAGGTGCGTTTTCGTTGTCAGCATAACTCCTGACAGGATCATTTAAAATGAAAACAAAATATATGTGTTTAGTTAAGACCATAAACTCGTACTTGGCAGACCTTTTTCCAAAAAAACGAAAACTTCGGTCAAATTTGCTCGACATTTCTTTTTTTTATTTAAACAGTACATCAGCAACTTCAAACGGATTTGAAACATCATTGAAAATACGTCTTGTAATCTTCTGTAACGCGAAATTAATTCAAATTTTTTAAAAAGAAAATATATTTACATATGAATTGAAAATAAATGTCATTTGCTTTAAACAGCTGTTTCGATGTGAAATAGAAATACTTTAAAAGAAATGAAATCATTCGGTTTGCAAAAGGAAATCACATCAATTTCATTCGGGTTCTGGAACATGCCTGTATTTCCTTTTATTTTAATTTATCTATGATTTTAATCTCTGTGCCCGAAAACGCAGTATTTCGATCAGGTGATTGTGTAAAAAGTTTGACAACCATATGAATATTTTCAGAGAACGTATATTATAATAATACTCAGAGACAGCGTTGCCATTTTATTCCGATCGGACCAAAATTGGTAGTTTCATTTGCCTTTGGTAGTTTCATTGGTAGGTATAAGTTTTTGGTAGGCAATATTTTCTATCACATACCGACCAAAAAATAATTATGAATGGAAACTATCAGCTCAATGTGTACAAAATGTGCGACCTAACTATAATTCCATTAGTTCTATAAGTTGAAATTGTAAAATAAAGATGGAAAGTATCAAGAATTTGATATATTCGCGCATTTCTTCAGCCTCATGCATCAAATTAAAGTAAAAGGGGCACATGGGCGAGTAAATACTTTAGTTTTACTTTAAATAATTGTTAATATTATACTTTTTAACTGGTTTTTTATCTATAGCAATAAAGTACCAAAAACCTCCGCAGTAAGCGGATAATATTTTAATATTTTGCGACATGTCGATAAACAACTTGATTTTGTTGTGATATAACTCGCCTGACCTTCAAAGCGAAAATTTCGTAGGGACTGGTTAAAATTAGTCGATTGGCTTGAAGAAAAGTAAGGGTGTTATGTTAGGTTAGGTTACGCGGTCAATCCTAACAGGGATCTCATTTGTACAACTTAGAACACCGGTCTTTTGTGGTACCTAAAACCCCAATATAATTGATCATAAGAACCTTACAATTTGACAAAGCTCTTTGAGCAAGTCTCGGCTATGTTTTCTAGTTCGTCGAAGGAAGACAGTGTTCTACTCTAGGTCAAAAGCATCTCGCGGTCGCACAGGAGTTAGTCGTCGACCAGCGCATGCTAACCGCTCGCGAGGTCCATGAATCAAATGCTAGAAAGCAAGATTCAACTCGTTTCCATTCCGATGGCTTTGCAGTTGTAAGCGAATCCGCTGTGGCAGGACACCCAAACGAATCTGATGATGAAGTCGCTTGATGCTTTTCTAGTAAGTATAGATCCTCCTTGATAAGCTTTGAGCATACAGTTAGTGAGCTCAGTGCTAGTATTGCGTTCTGCTGTGGGAGTGATTGCTCACCGACCTGAAAGAGGCTGCACATCGTAGCAGTCCTTTTACCGCTACCTTAATAGTAGCCGCTTCTGCTTGAAAAACACTAGAGTAGAGTCTGGTAGCCTAAAGCTAAGTTTGACGGAGAGCTACATGCAGAAAACTCCACCTCCAAACTTTCTTCCTAGCTTCGACCCATCCGTGAAAAAGCTAACTGCGACACTTCTCCAGCGAATAATCCACATATCCCTAGCCGGTATTTGAGCAGGTCCTTGTTCGAACCCATTCATATACCCTTCCTTGGACCTAAAAGCGCACTTTGCAACAAGACTACTGCCGGCAATATCCACGGGAAAGGAAGGGTGTGCATGCTGCTAAATTTAATTGACATCTAAAGTTTATTTGTATGTACATATTTTTACAAATGTGAAGTTAAATAAAACCCAATACTTTCATAATAAGAAAATTTAATAGTTTTGAAAGAAATTTGGTAGAGATTTTGTGGTAAAGTGGTAAGACTGTTCAGAGAACGTATATGGTTATAATATACGGTCTCTGATAAACTTTCTCTAAAATATACGTTCTCTGGATGAACCTATCATTCAGTCGATAATTCAGTTTTATCTCTGATTCAGTGCTATTGCGAACAAGTTATAATTATATTGTGTAGTGAAAAGTTTTGTTAGCATTTATTACTTTGCTTTAGTTAATTTTTAAACAAGTTGATTTTTTATTGTTTATAAGTTCATTCACATTTAAATTAATTAATGAAAATCTGCAGCAAAAATACAAATCTTACGATAAAAATGAAATTAGCAAGAATATAAGTATGAATAGAAAGATATTGTTCGGTTAATATGTGCGAAGAAAGAGACAGTGCAAAGTTAGAAAAAATGCATTGTTTGCACTGTATATAATAAGCTGGTAGAACCACGAACATTATTAATTAAAAGAAAAATATGTAAACACAAAACCAGTACAAAACAGTAAAATACTTTTTTTCTCAAGTGCCACTCCTACCGTCGAAATATTTGTGAAAATTCTTGACAAGGGGTCCTTAATCAAAAGCAAAACACACCATTAAACATAAATACTTCCAATTTGTTTAACAACTAGCTGATATACTTAGCCGAATAAAATGTCAGGACAAACAGTCAACGGCCAGCGCAATCAAAGAGATGCCGAAAATGGTCTCTATCCACAAATGCCGTCTGAACGTAGCCAAGCAGTACAAAAACCAACACCGTCTCGCCCACCACCACGTCGTCAAGACACAATTGACATGGAAGTTATCCCATTAAACCGTAGTCAATCCGCCCCAACAGGAGTTGAAACAGATGACCGCAGACGGGCGCGTCGTATCTTTGATAATGTAAGTTGTGTTTGTGAAATAATTACATGAGATCGATATTATAATATATACGAGTTATTGTTTGACCGTTGTTTAAATATAAACTCAGATCAACATTTTTGTGCCGTAGTATGTACATTAACCTTTTGAAAGTTGAAGTAGTTTTGTGCATACATACATTTACCTACTCGTATAAAGAAGGTAAGAAATAATAAAGTTACCATTACCTCAAAGTTGTGTTCAATGGAAATTTCAATGACTCAGTATATAATATTGAATACTTATTTTACACATCTATGTTGTTGTTTAAAATAAACAAAGGCAAGTAGGGGAAAGCGAAGTTAGCTATTTAAATTAATCACAATTGGATTTAAATAAATAATTTTCTGTATATGCATTATAAATATTTACGTACATTTATAAATGTGTATCTTTATGAATGCAGATTTATTTTTTACATTCAGCTCCGTTGTCAGAGTATTGTATAAACCTATGATTATACAATGTGTCAAGTCAAGTTGTTCTGTGGTCACGTCTTCGATGTTTCCCTTGTGCAAAATGTCTAACTGAAATCTCTCTTTTTCCATTTGAGCACAGTGAAATTATTTTTTTATATTTTAATACACCTGTTGCTCTTACATTTCTCAATCACCTTTATCGGCGCCATATTTTCTCGGTGACGTTAAATCTAACAATACAATCACGCTTACATATGTACATAAGTATGTTTATCATATTTGTGCGGTCTTTGCTTTATAATTTTTGCGATTCACTTTTTCTCGTTTCTTTAATTTTTAGGACATAATTGTTTTCAGATTTAGCGTTGGCTTTTTGCATGCGAATGGTATTTAGGAACCGGTTATTTGTTTTTTATTTAAACATTCTTTAGTAATTACAAACTAGTAAGATGAGGCCACATTCATATGCATGTCTTAAAATATATGTATGTGTACAATATTTTACTTAACTAAGTATTTTGGAAAATTTTCAACTTGCTCACGTCTTACTCTGCAGATACCTTTAAGGTAGTTTCGGTTGGATTTTATATAATTGTTTATATGTAGTTAAAACTTACCGATCCAAACAGTGTTAGATCGTCGAAATTGTTCATATCTATATATTTATAATATTACTATCTGTACCCTGGATACGTACATATGTATATAACTAAATTGTCAGCATTGTCTTTTTTTTGACTGCTCCAGGCGCGATTTTTTGGGTTTCGGCTCATTTCTCATTTATGTCCTCACGACCACTTTAAAAACGTTGAAACCACTCGTGCACTCTGCTACGGGATAGGCAATCATCGCCATAAACTTGTTTCATCAATTGAAACATTTCGGTAAAGGTTTTACCAATTTTAAAACAAAATTTAATGTTGGCTCTTTGTTCGAAGCTCATTTTCGAACCGATGACAAAAACATACTGACACTTAAAACTAACTTTACTTCCAATAGATGAAATGTCATGAAATTTTTACTGGAAGTCGATAAAGGATAGCAGATTCTAACGCACTAGTCGATAGATGGCGCCACTAGAGTTTACTTTGTTACTTTTGTCCTGTTTACTTTGGAACGCACCTTGTATTTCACCGAAAACAGAATTGTATTTTTTACAGAACCGAAGAGCGTAAATTACAATTATTGGCAATGAATTGACATGTTGTGGTTAAGTACTCTTCATTTGCCGCTGATCTGTTGTCAAGGCGACATGAGCAAGATCGTGCAGCATATTCACCAGCATTTGCATTACAGTTACGATAATTTTTGAAATATACATCACGTTATTGTTTCAGACTTAGGAAGATATATCTTGGGTCCAATTTTTACGAAATGTCGAACACCACTATTTGAAAGAATATTGACTCGAAAATCTTGTGCTACCAATATATAATCAATGTCTTGTTTTTTTTTTTATTGTTATTCATACTGTATGTTTTGAAATAATAATAAGAGTCAAAAATTTTAATAATGACCGAGAGAGAAGCATGGCTTTTTTTAATGCACCCCTGCTCCCTGTAATGTCTGCCTTTAGTTTATAGTAACAGCAAAGCTGAGCTTGATAGAAAACTGAACAGATTTTTATCTGTTTTTATCTAGAATTTCAGCATAAATAATTTTGTCAATTTGATTGTGTCTTAGCTTCTGACAGCATATTTGTTAATTTTTCAAAATTTAAAATTTTCAAATTTGTATACAAGCAATGAAGTCTGCCAAAACAAATTTTTTCTAAATCCGTAAAGAATAGCATTTTTTTGAAAATTAAGTATCCTAATACCTTAATTAAACAAACTTACTTTCACATTTATAATATAATTATATAACTACAAGTAGAAGACCCCAACTACACGTTGCTGTGGCTAAGGGATACATTCAATTATATTATAAACTATTCAGTACAGTAAAATGGTACTTATGAATGAAGACGAAAACGTTATAGGTCGTATAAAAATCCACGTTATTACAATTTTAATATGACTTAAAAATTTGAAACTGCTTGATAAAAAATTTCTTTAATTTGCTATTAGATGTTGAGTTTTAAATTTATTAATTTTATTTGCTGGTTTTTAACAAATGAGTAATTTTGAAATCTGTTAGTTAACAATATTTAAGATAATTAATGAGGTAGCTGGGATAGATCATTCATAATTTTTAACAATTACATTTAAAGTTCAATAATATTCTTGGATGAGCTCAAATAGATTCGACGGTTTTCCCATACTGTAATGGGGAACTGTAGGAATACGTGGCAACAGATCATTAAATTTTTCGGTCAAAGTGGTTGCTTCCTGTGATCTTTTTAATTTAAAAACGTTGCATAATAGAGTGAATTCGAATTACGCTGTAGAATAATAGGTGAACTTATTTTCAACCGAACAATACTTGATGAGATTCCGGATATATCTAAAGAATTTTGAATTACAATTTGAAAATTTACGATGTCATTTTTATCAACAACAGTAGCGATAGCTTTTCAATACAACAAATCGCTGAACAACAGTTGTGTCAGTAAATTGATGTCGTCAACATCTACATTTGTGGCCGCTGGAATATAATTGTACATATGTAGTTATTTGGGTGAATCAATTTGCAGTTGCTCGCGCATATGTATTTATGCTCAATAAAATTGTAAACACTTCACCATAAAGATGATTGTTCAAACTATCGTTAATCTCATTGGCTTAAAAAAATCGAAGAGTGACCGATCTTTTGGAAATCACCAGATAGTAGTAATTTCAACACTGCAGCTATTCCGCTATTTTTTGTTTTTTATATTGCTTTTTTCTGTTGTAATTTAATTTCCACATAGTTTGTTCAAGAAAAAAACTGCCTTGTCAAAAATTACGGTACTCTGAAAGTAGCTATAATAAAACCTTCAAATGATTCTTACATGAATTTTAAACACGTGCTTATGATTTGAAATATTGTTTTGACTTTTAACACAAAAAGATTAAAAGTATCCTATGTCCGTTCCCTGGTTCTAAGGTACCTCCCCATCAATTTTCAGCCGAATCAGTTCAGCCGTTCTTGAATTATAAATAGCATGGCTACAAACCGGTTTTAAGCCGAACCGCCTAAAAATTTACAAAATACATTTGTCCGGCTACATATGTATATTATAATAACTATTGATATCTTCCTTACTACGTGTGGTAAATGTATTTAGTTTTGTAATTAAACTAGTTCTTGAACCGGTATAAGTATTTTCTGAGTAGTTCGAACTACTGAACCGAACCGAATCAATTTTGCAGTGGTTTGCAGCCCTGATAAATAGAGTAACTTTCGCGATTTTATTTAATGTGAATAAAAAAAGTTTAGGTACACCATTAATTTTTCCAATAATTACTGGTTTCTGTTTAAATTTACGAAAGTAATAAGAATAATATACATACATACGTGCATACATATGTATTTCAACATTTTGTTAATATACTATTTAACCAAATGATATTTCATATTTTTAACGATAATGAAATTAGAATAAAAATATTAAAGATTTTATATAAAAAAGTTTAGGTACAGACATGGAAAATATTATTTTGGATCGTTGTTTTTTAGTCTAATATTTTGCTAGATCTCCTTTAGCCTGAATAACTGCTTCTAAACGTCGATGCATGCTTCCAAATAGGTTAGATGTCTGCTCAAGAGTTATATTTTCCCATTTTGTGCATATGGCCTCTTTAAGTGAAATTTTCGATGTTATATAGTGACTCCGTATTTTTTTCCAGTAGATGCCAAATATGCTCTATAGGATTAGTGTTTGGGGATTGTGGGGATATTTTTAAGTTTTTGCACTCGAGTCCTTTTTCCGTTGCGTGAACCAGCAACTCTAAACGATTTCGGCCGAATTAGGTCAACATTTTACAGGTACTTTCTAGCTAAAGGGTTAATTGTTTACAGTGGTAGGGAATCTATTCTTGCACAAGATATGAAGCATGTTTCGGGTCATTGTCTTGTTCTTGTTGAAACAAGAATGACTTACTCTTCAACGCTTGGAGCTAAATTTTCCTTTAATATTTTCAAATGCTTGGCCATGTTATCATTAATGAACAGGAGATTTCCCACACTATATGCTTCAATGTACCTCCAAATCACCGCCGCCGTTTCCTGCTGCTCTTTGTTTCGTTTTCGCCAAATTTTTAGCGCACCATCGGAACCAAACATATTGAATTTTGAAATCTCACTAAATATTACCATCTCACTAAATACCCATGATAGCCAGGTCTGTGTAAAGTGTTACTTACAGTTTTGTTGCTTCTTTTCACACAGCTCTACTGGCGGAATCTTCGGAGTACTTTAATATTATATAATAATATTGGTTAGGTAGCTGTAAACATGTGCAGTGTGCATAGTGAAAAGTGCTCCGTAATATCTGAAAATATTACATCAATCGTATATATAAAAGTGAAAGAATATTAAATTAATGCCTCATATAAGTTTCCTTAAAAGGAAATAATAATTCTTATAAAAAAATATAAAGGATGTACAAAGAAAAGTTCGATTAAATTTTGATATTGAACC